TATTTTTAGTATTCATACACATGTACAACTCAATCAGCGGACAGAATTGTACAATGCAAATTATTATAATTATTAGCATTTGTGTGTGACACTGGGAACATCATAGGATTTGTCATGGATATTTTGTTACTGCAGGTATCTGGGTGAAACAGAATGTGGAACCTAATGTGCCGCCATTTACTGGCCAGCCAGGGATCAAGATGCCTCTCCCGGACGATCCAACTCCACTGGACTATGTCAAGCTGTTCTTCACTGCACAATTCTGGGTGATGCTAGTGACGGAGACAAACCGGTTTGCAAGAGCATACATCGACGCTAACGCTGAAACACTGGCCCGGCGCAGCCTCGCCCGCTCGTGGACACCCGTTACCGTAGCCGAAATGAAAGTGTTCCTGGGCTTGTTCTTGAACATGGGCCTTGTTCCTAAGCCCGAGCTTGACCACTATTGGAGCACAGATCCCATCATCGCCACACCGTTCTACAGCCGCACGATGCCGCGCGAGCGCTTCACCTCTATCATGAACTTTCTGCACTTCATGGACAACGCTGAAGAAGATCCCAACGATAAGCTCTCCAAGATACGGCCTCTTCTGACGTTGCTTCAGGAGCGATTCATGAGCGTTTACACTCCCAACGAGTACATTTCAATTGACGAGGAACTGGTGGCGTTCAAGGGAAGGATATCATTCCGCCAGTATATTCCGTCGAAGCGAGCACGCTTCGGGATGAAAATCTATGCGCTCTGCGAAGACAGCGGTTACCTCTTCAATCTGATTGTCTACGTCGGGAAGGACAACGAAACCTTCTGCCCTGAGAAGGTCAAGGAGCTCGGCGTGTCCGGTGCGGTAGTGCACAAGCTCGTTGAGCCGCTTCTCGGGAAGGGGTATAAGCTGTACGTGGACAACTGGTACACGAGTATCCCGATAGCCACCTACCTCAAGGGCAACGCAACGGGAGTGTGCGGTACCATTCGCAAGAACCGGATCGGACTACCGAAGCGTATAGCAAATTTCAAGGGGCTAAAGAAAGGCCACTTTCTGTACCGGAGCGGTGGTGGCATGATGTTTATAAAGTTGCAGGACACGAAGGAGGTGCATTTTCTGTCCACGATGCACAAGGCAAACGTAGAGCCAACTGGCAAGCGAGATCGGCAGCGCCGCCCAGTCCGCAAGCTTCGTCTTGTACAGGACTACAACAAGAAGATGGGTGGAGTTGACAAAAATGATGAGATGCTGTCGTTCTACACCGCTGCACGCAAGTCCCGGAAGTGGTACAAGAAGCTCGCCGTGCATCTGATTGAGCAAGCACTCCTGAACGCGTATATCCTGCACAGGAAGTCAAACCGCATGACGCACTTCGACTTTGTGAAGCGCGCCCTGAAAGCCCTCATCGCCGAAGGCAAGGCGGAGATGGTAGCTCACGCGGAAGCAGCTGCTGCAGCAACTGGTGGAGCCACAGGCACGAAGCGCATGGACAGCCACTTCCTCCGCTACATCCCGGCAACCGAGAAAAAGGCTAATCCGCAGAAACAGTGTGTTGTCTGCTACGGCAAGGGTAACCGGAAGGATGTCCGCACCATGTGCGCTGATTGCCTCGGGAATCCTGGGTACTGCATTCCGTGTTTCGAGGAGTCTCACCGAGGGAAATAGAGCTGTACTCACTTGTGTCAGGGGTGTTCAGGTCTGGTCACCGCTTGAGGATCGTGGCAGGCTTTATGTAGTTGCTAGCTACCTGCTAGTTCACTGTAGTGGTATTGCAGCGCTCAGCTACTTTGTGTGAGCGGCATTCAATAATTTGTGTGAGCTACATTCTATAATTTGTGTGTGTGTGTGTGGGCGCGCACTCGCGCGCGCCCTCGGGTGCGCTTTCATGCATGTGTCCAATAGTGTACATGAGTGTACGGGTGAATGTGAGTGCGAGAATTGCATGGCTGGATAGGTCTGTATAGGTGTGAATATGTGCATGCCTCTGCCGGTGTCTGTTCGGCAAGAACCTGTTGCCTAGCCATTCGTATTGCATTCAGTGTTTCGAGGAGTCTTACCGAGGGAAATAGAGCTGTACTCGCTCGTGTCAGGGGTGTTCAGGTCTGGTCACCGCTTGAGGATCGTGGCAGGCTTTATGTAGTTGCTAGCTACCTGCTAGTTCACTGTAGTGGTATTGCAGCGCTCAGCTACTTTGTGTGAGCTGCATTCAATAATTTATGTGAGCTACATTCTATAATTTGTGTGTGTGTGTGTGTGGAGGGGGGGGGGGGGGGGGCGCACGCGCGCGCGCGCGCGTGCGCACGGGTGCGCTTTCATACATGTGTCCAATAGAGTACATGAGTGTACGGGTGAATGTGAATGCGAGAATTGCATGGCTGGATAGATCTGTATGGTTGTGAATATGTGCATGTCTCTGCCGGTGTCTGTTCGGCAAGAACCTGTTGCCTAGCTATTCGTATGCACATTGAATAGTTCCTGACGCCCCTCAGCTGGTTTCAGCAAACATGACCATATTTGGTCATCATCTACTCAAGAACAAAACCGTAATTATGTCAAACCTAGTTCTTACCATCATATCCACCTGGCCATTCTAGTATAAATGAGTTGCATGCTCTGGTACGTTCAACCCGTGTTTATGCGAAAATTCATCAAAAATACGTATATTTTGTACTCGTTTTACTGGCTTCTATTGACCAAATATGGAATTTTGTGTTGGGAATTGTTCTCACTGAAACCTATGCATTCCGCAGAAAAAATTGTGAGTGAATAGGACTACTTTTGGAAAATCACGAAAATCACTGGTTTTGGCTCCGCGGGTCAGTTACACACCCTGGCCGTGCTGAAACATCCTAAACGGTTGGACTTGGAGATGTTTGTCTCGTGTAGAGAAAAGGAAGAGAGTTCAACACATGTAAGCTCTCACTTGGAATATATTTCATTTAAATTTGTTTCACACAAATTAGAAGCTGGTGAAGAATTCGGACAATACATTGCATACTAGAACCACCCTATGTCCATTTTCGAAACTCTGCTCGGAAGATTGCGTGAATATAGCTGTGTAGCATGAATTGCTGTAACCTGCCATCACTCGTTACTAGTTTGGCATTGGTTACTTGAATGGTATTGTTCCCAGTATCTTTCTGTGTCAGCTCTTTGTGGTTATCACCTAGTTAACCAATAATAGAATTGCTCAGCTCATAAATTTTTCCCAAGCAGCTGGATACGGCTCAAGAGTAGCTCCATTTTTAGTGGACCCAAACCTCATTTCATGTACGCTTGTGGACGCATGGGGTTGGCATTAGTGGCTCATTCCTGCTAGACCTAATCACGCTCTACATGTATGCAAATTATATAGCACGCTGCACTGATACATGTAGTCTGTTGAGTACATGTACATGACTTATTCCAGGTATTGTCTGATGAAACTGGGTTTACAAGGAGGAATTTTCCTTTTGCCAGCAGAGAGGGTTCAACGCGACGAACTCTGTAAACATTTAAGAAGGCGTTATCGTTATACATTTAGTGAAGGCGTTATCGTTATACATTTTGTTAACCACGAAAGGCTAATCGGACGTGAAGAACGTGTTGGAAAATCGGGCAATCACGTCGTTCAGTCTGCAAGGTGTGTGGTCCGCAGTCCGTATGTCCACGCCGCTCCTCCATTGTAGTGACTGTTGTCTACTAGTATCTCCTAGTACCATGTACCATGTATAGTGGCGATGCTTGGTCCGAGATACCACATGTTCTAGGTCTTTGCTTCTAATCTTTTGGAATGCCCGCGCTCAGCGCCGCGTGCACAACTGCAGGCTCGTGGTGCGAAGTTAGTTCATCTCAGTTGCCACGAAAGGCGCAAAACAACATAGTGTGGTTTCTCAGTCTTCAAACCTGTCGCGCGCAAATTCATGGTGAGTGCATTGTACTGTAGGCAGCAGGGTACTTGTTTTATGCTATTTGGCTACGGGCAAAACAATCATCTTCAAGACTTCAATCAGCGCCACAGCAGTTTTAGAGTTCACCTGGCACATATTTTCTCTCCTTTGATCAGAGGCATCAAACGGACGCATGAAGTGTGGTTGTTGGCCGAGTAATGCCCGTGGGTGAGTAGGTTGTGCAATTGCGAGAAGGTGATGATGGTAGGGAGGACTGCTGCTACCATTCACACCCTCTAGGCTTCACACATTGACAGTATCCAGTACATAACAATGCCACCAACCAAAAACAGGGAGAGAGAACTGCCTCGGATCAACGCATGGTTTATCAGATTATCAGATCTTCCTCGCCAGGGCTGGAGTTTCACTCACAAACACACGGTTGTTTGGAATGTATTGTAACCTGTTTTCAAGGACGTCACTACGTAGATGGAAAGAAAGATTGATTTCCCCTGTTTGCATTCCGGTCCATTTCGTTTGAAACGAAGAGTCCGGCCTGGCCCATATGTTTGTAGTCATCAGATGAGTTGATTTTCAGTTTTTCAACGCCTCACAGCAAGAGGGCACATAACGGGTATCCTTGTCTACAACGCACTTGTCTGAAGTGTCGTCAGGAACGCTGCCGGTGTTTCGCATCTGTCTGATGGGCGGCTGTGCAACGAAGTCTTTGTGAGAGAGGTACACGAAGAGATGGGTCTCGTGGTTGTCTTCTCGGACGGCAGTCGTATTTTCAGAACTTGCTACCCAAACCGCTAAAAGCACGGAAGATTTACACCCCCCCCCCCCCCATGGTGCGCTTGTATTTTGTAAGGTGATTAGCGGCTATCGTTGTGATCACGATAGACAAGTCCGATCGCGGTCATTCTGGGAACCTGTGCCAAGACTCAACTGTGAGCAGCTAGGCTCTCAACAGTGTGTAGTACAAGTATTAGTACATTAGAGCTGGCGCATAAACACAGCGCATCAGACTACTACATTGTGGCAAGGCCGACCAGGTCCGCTGGGATCCTTGTCCCTGGCGGAGGTGTCGATTCTTTCAGTGAACTCAGGAGACCCTGTCTGCTGGTCGTCTGTCAAACACGACATTCCGGCGGTTCTGCAGTAATTCCCTTCTTCTCGATCAGTCACGTGCAGTCGAATGCTGTTGCAGCTTCTTCTGTGCATGGTCATGGTCATGTAGTCGTATTGGTCTCGCTTATCTGCTGGACATATGCAGTAGTCTGGGTACCAACAGCACGTTGTTTTGTTCCCCCGCTGCACCTGCTCCGTTGTCCGAAACAGACCAATGCTAAACCTATGCGGCCCAGCGTCTGTTCATAAGATGGCTCAGTTAGAGCGGGAAGCAGTCGCTTTCGGAGACTTGGATCAAACATTTTCTCTTTGAATTGAAGACGAGCTTTTTTTGTTGAACTAGAAGGTCTCTGGTGCAGTGGTAGAACGCCAAAGTTGGACTAGGATTTGGAAGAGAGCGAGTCAAGCTAGCGATGTGTGAGCAAGGGACAATGTTCAGTCATAGGCGATGGAGTCATGGCTTCCGGAGTTTCCGTTCTGAACTTCTAGATTTTGTTGTTTCGCTACTACTGCTCCTGTTATGTTTATCCGTGCACAATGGATGTTCGGCGAGTCCGATTCAAATCGAGAACACAGATTGGCAGAGCCATGACCTCTACAGCCGCAGAGTACATGGTAAGTGTGATTGTTGTGTATCGTGTCGAAAGAGATTCTCTAGCGTGTTGCTGCGTAGTGCGCTCAGATTGTTGACGACCTCATAATAATGGATGGTGAAACTCTTGGTCGAGATTTTTTGGTGTCGAATTTTCACGTAAACAGAGGACTCGCTTCTGAGGTGTATCTTTTGTTGTGTTGTTTTCGAGGCAGTTGTTTTCACCATGCTGCCTGCATGGTATTTGGCGAATGCTCGTGTTTTTTCACATCGAATGTTCGAAGTGGCGGGTAGCGGCGTGAACTGTAATGGATCCGTGGCACGTGCGCTGGCGGTCTCTGATTGGTTTGCGGCATATGGCCAGGACACATTCGTGCAAGGTGCCCAGCTCACCGGACGAGGAGGAGAAATTCTCCCCTGCGAAGCTTCGCCTATCTGCAGGCCGTCCCTGTGGCGTTTTGTGAGACCTTGATGCTGCCATTGCGGCCCGTGGAAAACACGTGTGTGGATCCTCTAGACGATGAACATACCATCGTGGGACTGAGGTATGGTGTTCCGTCGTAGCTCTACACAGGGGCAGGTTGCAGCTCCTTTTGGCGTACATGTCGATGAATCGTGGCCTCTGCTGAATAGACTTGAGCTGAGCTGCGCGAAGGCCGAGCCTTATCAGACCGACGTGATCCAACTTTGTTTGGTCGGCCGCACATACTGTCAAAGAAAACTCGTCGGGACATCAGTATTTGTTGCTGCTCGCCATGTTTGGGCCAGTGCGTAGGCAATGCGTTCGGACGAATATGCTCCCACAGATACTTGTAGAAGTAGCCGAGAGTGCGCCTATTTTAGTGCGTGTACCTTATACAAGCCATTTGCCAGTACGGACTGGTTCATCGTCTATCGTCGTCCACAGCATGTACTGCAAAGCACAAACAGGAAGCTAGCCTCATACACTCTCATTCGAATGCATTGCACAGCAGTGGACAACGTTCCAAATCAAGATGCCAGGGCTCGAAACTCAAATAATTATACTGAGTAATTTTTGTTTCATGTGACACAGGCCACACATCAAGAAAGATTGTATCAGTGTTAGAGAAGAAGTCACCTGGGACTAGTGTGACGGGCCAGGTGCATCAATACCAAAACAACGGGCGGGAAGAATGCTATATTCTTGCTCTCCACATAAACATTCACATACTCCCTAGATACGTGCTGAAGGAGTTCGGTCAAGTTCACGTGGAGAACTCCCATCTTCTGACTAGCAGACATTGGTGGTCCGAAGATCCCATGAGATACAATGTAAAGTTCCCAGGCACACACCTATCTACAAGTTAGCAACATGACATTGTGTACAGTAACCATCTCCCTCAGGAAACTCTGCACAGGTGGCCCATGTGGCTGCGTGTGTGTGGCAACTAAGCCACTGTGTGGTCAACCCCAATCTAATACTGCTCATTCTGAACTTAACCTGAATTGACGGGTACATCAACTCTGCTATACCGATTAGTCAGTGTCCGTCCATGTTCCAGACAATGAAGCTACATGTACAGCTGTAGCTAATGAAATCAAACCCTTGAATTTGCACTGAGCTGCCGCAGTGGATCATGGGCTACATTTCCTTCTCCACGGCTGATGTCCTAGAGGACAGTGCTTCTCAGCGAAACCCGATGGCGTGGGTCAAGTTTGTGCCTTGCACCATTTGGCAGCCCGCTGTTCGCAGGTGCAGGGCTGTGAAACGCCCGGCGTATCCTTGAGTGACTTGACCGGATTTCATTGAGCAGCAATGGTGTGTATGAGTTGGTTCCGAACAGGCTTGTGCGACCCTTACCGAACTTGTCCGGTCTACCACACGTTGTTAGTCGGCAGTTCGTCACTTCTTTACTGGTGGCTTTGCTACTGATTTCTCGGGGCTGGTGACATTCCTACGGATGCAGGAAACTCGGCCGCCAGCCGAGGCTCACACGAACCGAGATTTTTGCTACTTGTAGTGATTGAACTGTTATAGGATATGTTGGTGGAAGGAGGTGAATTTACCGTTAATGTAGTAAGGATTACTGCTGGCTGCATCCGCCACAATGTGGGTGGATACTGTGCAGTGAATGACTCGAACTGAAAAGGAGATGTCGGTGTGGTAACTGGGAAAAATGAGGTCTCGTCAGTGAGCAGAAGGAACCGTATTTCAGACTTGAACAAAAACTTCTTTTTTATGATGTATGCATGCTCTCACAGACAACTGCCCGGATCAGCCCAGCTACTGTCCGCCACGTCAAGCAAATGTCACCGTGCACAGGATCAACGAGACAGCGGTGCGATTAATGTGGATATACGTGCCCGGAGCCAGTCCACTGCAGATCGGAGTTGTCGCTAACATTGAACTAAGACTCACAAGCATATACGAAGGTGCCATAGACATCGCCATACCAGCTTCCCGTACTGCGTACACGGTTACATCTCTCATACCGGGTGTCAACTATCGCCTGCAAACATCTACATTCAATAGCAATGGAGAAACCATCAGTGAAGACATACAGCTTGAATCTCCAGGTGAGGAAATGGCAAAGATTCTTCCTCTGCCCGTTTCTCTGGCTGGTCACCAATCTTTGTGGTCTGTCTGCATATTACTCTCTTTCTATGCATCTCTCTCTCTCTCTCTCTCTCTCTCTCTCTCTCTCTCTCTCTCTCTCTCTATTTCTCTCTCTCTCTCTTTCTCTCTCTCTCTCTCTCTCTCTCTCTCTCTCTCTCTCTCTCTCTCTCTCTCTCTCTCTCTCTCTCTCTCTCTCTCTCTCTCTCTCTCTCTCTCTCTCTCTCTCTCTCTCTCTCTCTCTCTCTCTCTCTCTCTCTGTCGCTCTCTGTCTCTGTCTCTCTCTCTCTCTCTCTCTGTCTCTCTCTCTCTCTCTCTCTCTCTCTCTCTCTCTCTCTCTCTCTCTCTCTCTCTCTCTCTCTCTCTCTCTGTCTCTCTCTCTCTGTGTGTCTCTCTCTCTCTCTCTCTCTCTCTCTCTCTCTCTCTCTCTCTATCGCTCGCTCTCTCACTGTCCTCCTCACTAGCATCCCTGTCAAGCACAGGTGGGAGTAACCAATACTTCTCCTCCTTCTTCTAACATCTACAGAATACTTGGAGTCTGAATGTGTCAGAATGACAGCTGGTCAGGAGTGTGTTGCATCCGGTGGTAATGCCCTGTTCAAATGTTCAGCAAGAGGAGGTCCACTCTTGGGTGTAGAGTGGCCAGCAGTGCCCAGTGCAGTCATCCGCCAGCAGCCAGTCACAGGTGGTCAGAACCTGTATATTGACATACGCAACGTTAGCATTGCCGATAATGGTCGTACGTACTGTTTGACATCGACAACTCCAAACAAACGACAGCGAGCATGCTTCACGCTGTGTGTAAGAGGTGAGAAATGTTGACCATGGCCTTTTGTGTAGAATTATGAAAACCGGATTTTCAATCGTACCTTCAGTAAATCTCAACATGTCCATTGAATTCTTCTTGTTCTAAAGCGGATCACGAAAGACAGAGAAAAGGGAGTTGTCCTTTTGGCCAAGTGAACGTAGTCAGAATAGGTTCCCTGCATCACAATATACAGAGTTTCAGATCCAAAAGCAATGTTCGCATTTGAAACCATGGTTCAGTGCTAGGTTGAATTTAGCCCAATCCAGTTTTATAGTCAATCTTCTTCTGAGTGCACATAATAGCACGATGTCTTAGATGTTTCTCCAAGAAGACATGCAGTGAAGCAGATTCGTAAGCCCTCTTGCACTAGACTATCTGTACCACTATTTTATGATTGCCCGATACAGAACGCATTCAGATCAGCTGCCGGAAAACCAGACCCTGCGCTCGTCGTCATGACTACCACCAATCGCTTACACTCAGCTGCACAGTGAGCGGACAACCTACACCCAATGTCACGTGGCGTTTCAACGGGCGGGTGATCACCAGCAGAGAGTCACGTGGCAATGAGTGGCACCTGCTGAACACAAGACCGGGACGTCTAACACAGCTGGACGGTGACTTCACACCGCAATCTCCCGTCGTTCAGCACCGCCTGAGGACGGAGTTGACGCATCATGACTATCACACAGGAACAGTGCTAGTGTCTGCAAACAATGGATTTGAAAAAGCCAAGGTCGTACAGGACATCATCATCACGTGTAAGCTATTAGGGAATTATCAATATGCCATTTCTAGTGCTTGACTCTCTGTTAGTTTTACGTAATACTTTGAAGTAGCTTATACCGGCAATAACTCTACACTAAGGAAGATGATGCACAGTTTGCACTGGTCTGTTTCAATCATTGTTTTTCACTATCAGTCTCTGCTGTGCAAACTGTGCATGAAGGCAATATGGGCCACAGCATACAAACAGGCTCTCCCTGATTCTGAATTCTACGAATGATGAATCCAGTCGTTCTCCTGATGGACATAGCAAATTTATTGCTCACTACATTATCTCCATGTGCACAGGGAACCCAAGTGAGATGGTACAGGTAGTGAAGATGACGCCTACAATAGAACTGGATGACCCGTTCCACATCCGTTGCAAGAGCTTCATAGGCCTGTCGGATCAGCACTTTTCCTGGTATTTCACACCGGCTGGATCGAAAACCAAGACGAGAATTAATCCCGGTAAGACAGCAACTGTGTATCTCAGAATCCCCTACGCATGCAACCGTAAGCCTGCATCAAGACAACACGTGCTGTCATGACAACACGTGATGTCATGGTGACACTGTACCCCATGGACAGGTTGTACGCCCCTTCAGTTTCATTCCCGGTTCCAATCTCTAGCTTCAGTGAAGTTAAACAGAAGTGTGTTCTCCATTGCATCAGCAGCAGCCTCAATTCAGGCACCTTCAGTCATGGACCCAGTCCAAAGTCCAATGTGTCTGTAACTCTGAATAATTTGTCTTGTAACGGGGGGGGGGGGGGGGGGGCGTGAGTGTTCAGTATCAGGCAAGTGTTTATAATATTCAACCACCCGAATTGGTTGATAAATATGGTGGTAAAGACACACCTGGCAATATGGCGGTAAACACACGCCTGCCCACACACGCTCTCTAAGCTGCAAAGTTCTAGCACAGAGCTCTCCTTCTCACCACCACCACCATCAGTTCGCGCCTGGCGCCTAGTCGATGCATGGTTGGCGGTATCCGACATAGCAGGCTGGTACATCAAGTAGCGCATGGCACATAGAAGATGACACAGCAACGACATAGCTCGATTGCGACGTACGTTTCGTCCCCGCTGGACTCATCAGGCAATCTTCTTCTTGGATGTCTTCATATGGAGCTTGGCTCGGGAGAATGAAGTTGAAGACACCACTGCAGCTGTACTTATGGTTGATAAATATTTATCAACCATAAGTACAGCTGCAGTGGTGTCTTCAACTTCATTCAACCACCCGAATTGTCAGAGAAAAGTGCCTCAATCCCTGTCTGGACAGCTTTGGTTGCAAATATTCACAGACAAGAAAGAAAAGAAAGGAGACAAGGGATAAACCTGGACTGGAAACACAACTTCTGGAAATATAAGTCCGCACAATCGAGGTTTGGCTCGAACAATACTTGACACTATCGGTTGTATATGCATACTTTCCTGTTGTGCTTTCAGGGCAGAATGGAGCTCTGATAGGCAACTCAGCTGTAGTCAGTAACTTACACATCAGAGCAGCTAACACCTCTCATTCCGGTGTCTACGAGTGTCTTGTCAAGAATCGCTACGGATGCTCCGAGTCGAGCTTTACGCGTGTCAAGGTTAAAGGTAAGCACCGCAAAGTGTCCATCTACAAACTGTCCTCAAACATGTCAGCAGTGATGTTATTTTCTCCTTCTGAAAGGCATCACCCTTTGTCTTAGACTTGACTCACCCTAAACTGACTTGTCATTGGTGCTATTCACAATTTCACATGCATCTACCCATATACAGACTAGCACACACGCATGCATGCACTGACTATAGATCCACACGAGTCTTGGTGTATTTCTGTGTTATTCTGTGCTATCAGCTGAAACTGTTTGTAGCAATAGCTGGGTCAGGGATCAATCGTGCTCTGTGTTTTTCTCGCACCTTCACTTGTCTGCAGCCAGTCTACTGACCCGCCTGAATGTCAGTGACAGTTTTGTGTTCAATGAGCTACATCGTCCAGCCACAGTGTCATGCATGGTAACTGCCGCCATCAAGAACCAGCCGCTGACCGTACACTGGTACCTGAACTCTAAAGACATTCACTCGGCAATGCCAGCACACAGCCTTTCGAGGCCGCCGCCAGTAGTACACATGACATCATGGCGAGCACAGCTGGTGCCTAGCTATGTCCTGGGCAATCAGTATCGCTATGACGTCACCACAAACAACCTCAGCATCAGCGACCTGGGAGAACTGCGCTGCGTCGCGACATTGGAGAACAAAAGACACGAATCCAGTACCACTTTACTAGCTAGAGGTAAGCTGCAGCTGGTATAGATAGTAGTCTTGGTCATACAGTGCACACATACCGTATACATGTAAGCGTGTCTGGTGTATTCGTCTACGTCACATAATAGTACGTATACTGGATAAGTTGAACTCGGATGGTGAGCCAATTATGGTGAAAAAGGAGAAGGACAAAAATGTTGATGTCTCAATGCTCCCTGTCAGTTTTGTGCCATTTTGTCGCACTCGCTGACTGTATAATTATGATCTGGTTACGTTGGTGGACAGTTAGTCACAACTCGTAACATTTTGCCCTTCCCTTTTTTATTATACAGTGGTAAAATGAAACATATCTTCACGGTTTGCATGAGGAGCCATCACACTAAATGTTCGCGTGGTAGAAATATCACCACCCGCATGGTAGAAACATCACCACCCTCAGGTATTATAGTGCAGATACAGGTTAGGGATTGTGCAGCATAGACTACCGGGACCCACATAGGGTTGTAGTTCTGTGCTTGTTTCGATGTACTGTTTGAGGCATATGAGTCTACAAGACCTGACTTGATGAGAGCTATGATTTTTATCAGCACAAATCAACACTTTCAGCAGGACAGTCACGGAAAAGGTTTCCGGTTTGCGAAGAGAAGTCCAAGTTCGGTTCAGAACTCCGCTGAAGACAACTTTCAAGAACTGACTTTTCTTTTCATGTTGTTCCATTCCTTGTCTCTCTCAGGTGTGGTAGTTGTTGTCACGGATTCGCGGCGAGCAATCAAAGTGAAGCGAAACGATCGGGTACAGGTCTCCTGCACAGTGTTCAGCAATCTATCGGAGTACAGGGAAAGTGACGTGCACCAGTCATTCAGGAATGACGTACTCCAGTCTGGCTGGCTGGTCAGGACCAAGACACAGCGAGTGCCACAGCCCGTCGGAGGACGGACGGACATGGAAGTTCGTAACGAGTCGCGGTCCCTGGGAGCAGGCGTTCATATGAAGAAAATCACCATGACGATAAGACGATTTCAAGCATCGCATGAAGGACTGTACATGTGTCGCGCCCCAGCAGAGGCTAAGCGTCGACTTCATAATGGTTCACGCATGCAAGCTGTTGTCAGGTTGAAGCTGGACAACCCAGGTAAGCTGCTCACAGTCAGAACATGTCATGCCATTACTATTGTATTGTACAGCAATAGAGTGCAAGTGGCAGTAGTCATGGTAATCATACTGTATAGGATTCACAGTAGTCATGGTAATCATAATTATTGTACAGGATTCACACAGTAGCCATGACAATCATGGCCGTGCCATTATGTTACAAACTGTGCACTGTCAGGCCTGCATTCCACTGAGTTGTTCTCATCATGCTTGTTCATGTGTGTTTTTCTCTTTCTTCTAGTTGCCAACCCACCGGCTCAGCTGATCATGTTCACATAGCTTCTGGCTCAGCTGATCATGTTCACATAGCTTCTGTCTCAGCTCCTGACATGTGTGACTTGTGTGATCAATCCACCAGTCCACTTCCACCATCTCCATATTGAGAAGCTACTATGTCTTATCAGTCGATCCTCCATGCCATGTCCGAGCACTACTGACCTCTGCAAAGGCTGTTGATGCCATTGGAACACCCACCGTACACTGAGTTTTGCCGATTTGATTCTAAAAGGCTCTGCAAGAACTGTTCATCACCAAATCTAACCCGCAGTTTTATTCCCCAAACATCACCGTGATTGCCCACATTATTTGCCATCACACCAATTATTTCAGCACTTTCTCTTCTTGAAACAAATTAATTAATTAATTCTAAGACTCATGATTACTTTGAAGTACATGAATTGAATACGTTTATCCCAAAGGATTCAATACCGCCTTCTATTATGATTGTTACTGCCGCTAGTCTCCTGGGTGATGTGTGAATGCTCACTAGAGCATTCTCATTAAACATTTAATATTTTTTTTAAATAAATCACTTTCAGTTACTTTCTACGTACATTCCCACATTGCCCTCTTGTGTTTAGCACAAACTTGAGACTTCTACTAGAAACGATTCCGTAGATCCACAATCCGCACTAACTTCGAGGTACTATTTTCAAAACACAGAATTTTCTTTTCGAAATCCAAGCATTCATAGCCACTTTTAGATGAGAGAAGTTCTACATTCTCTAAACGGTTCAGTTTTTGTTCAACAATCCATCCTAAGGAACTGAGTCCCTATGACGTTAGCGGAGAACCGAGCTACTCTCCGTTGTGTGCGTTGCATACAGGAATATGCGATGCGTGTATGGGTCCAACGTACAGATGCGTTGCGGGACTTTAGTATTGATCACCCCGCTGTGGATCTTGATTGTGCATAGTGCCAGTGGGGTGCGGGCGGGGGGGGGGGGGGGGGCAGTTTGAGACTGCATTGTGAATAGTAGCTTATGTACGGTGCCACTCTGATCCTGCCAAAGCCGTAGCTACGTCTACCTAACCTGCAGATAAGGAATGAACACCCAGCCCTGGCCCATCCTAGTAGTAGACATAGTTGTACAGTAGGACTCAGAGTCCTGTGACCCAGGCAGGTTGGGACCGGGTACTGCCCGGAACTAGGAATTGCCAATTGCCGGAACTAGGAATTGCCCGGAACTAGGAATTGCCGGAACTAGGAATTGCTGGAACTAGGAATTACCGGAACTAGGAATTGCCCGGAACTAGGAATTGCCGGAACTAGGAATTGCCCGGAACTGGGAATTGCCCGGAACTAGGAATTGCCGGAACTAGGAATTGCCCGGAACTGGGAATTGCCGGAACTAGGAATTGCCCGGAACTAGGAATTGCCGCAACTAGGAATTGCCGCAACTAGGAATTGCCGCAACTAGGAATTGCCGCAACTAGGAATTGCCGCAACTAGGAATTGCCGGAACTAGGAATTGCCCGGAACTACAAGTAGGAATTGCCGGAACTAGGAATTGCCCGGAACTAGGAATTGCCCGGAACTCAGAACATGATACTTATTGCATGTAAGTAAGCACTTATCATGTCAAATCAATAGTTTAGGGAGGGGTCTTCTCTGAACAGCCGAATTTTGTGACTAGATGGGTCGGAAAGGTGGCCGGTACACGGAAGTACCCAAATCTGGGGGATCCGAATTTGGGAAATTTTACTGAACTACAGCACCCGTTTCTGTAAGGCACTGCTGATTTTAAAAAGAAATATTATCGGTATTTTCAAGACCCAAAACATAAATCCAGCGGTCTGGAATAACCCAGCTCTTTGCCGCAGACACCAGTGGGAATGGGGAGTAAAAGGAAATTATACTTCGAAGTAATTATTTCAGTTGGTTGGACGCCTGCATAACATTCAAACGTAAAATATTCATTATAACGTATCTGTGCCCGGCACGCAAAGGAACTGTTTGTCAATAGGTCAGCCGCTTCTTAAAACCTCGGAAATGTGGCGAGGTCAGTATCAAGATTGAAAATACCGTCTGTGTTTAGTTGGTGATGTGTGTGGCTCATTGTTACTGCTGCTGCTTCTACTGACGTGGACATGGAAATCTGGTCATATGACCGGGACCGGTGCCCTCAGTGTGTACAGAACGTTCTCCGCACAGGGCACATGTTCATGTTGGATCGTATGCGAACTCACGGTGACATGACCAGCGCACTGGGCCCGCTTGACCGCCGACTGGATGGTTCCATGTCCACGACAGTACATGTATATGTGACTCACTGTGGCTACGTTTGGCTATTCGATGGCGAATCAGTCTAATTCTGTAATCTGCATTAGATCTTGCTAATCTACACGTGCTATGTCCTATACTGTGGTGGTCTCCAGGTCAGCTGTACCCATGCCTGTCATCAGCGATAGATTCGCGCCGGCTGTTAGTGATCCAATGCCGTTGGTGAAGCTGGTACTGAAACTGCCGGTGGACGTGTGCATACAGGCGGCAGGCACACCTTCATCACTGCCACCCGACGCAGCGCCCGGTGCCAGGGCATCTCCGTCAAACGACTCGTCTTGATCCATATCATTCTTCGTCTTGCGTCCCAGTGCTCTGCCAATGGAGTCCTGTTGTAAACACAACGAGACAAAAGTACAAAAGTTAGCACCTTGCACAAAGCACATTGAGCCAACAAGAGATCTGCCACTCACCCGAAGGCTTCTCCGCCGCTTGACCTTGCGACTATCCGGCTGATCAGAATCTTTCTCACGTTTCAGGAAAGCCTTGCCTAGTGACGTGCTGGGAGTGGACTTGCCTTTCTTGCCAGAGAGGTTGTCAGTCGACTTGGCAATGGCAGCCAGCGTTGCTCTACGTAATGTAAGAGAGAACACAACACAACTCTAGTTTCTAGTTTTCCGCTCATCTGAGTTGTTTGCTAATGTGACTAATGCAATTATAATCAGACATCAATCATATCATAATATGATGAAAGAGGTTTAGAGGTTTAATGGTTTATTGTCATCACGAAAAAAGAAATAGAAGTACACTTCTGGTCTTTACTCTGTCACTCTATTGGAGCTCAGCCCTGGAGACAAGCAGCAGTGTAAAAAATTAATGGTAGGGGCAAGGTCTAATTGATGGTAATTTCATGCATGTACTGCACTGTGTATGGCAGGGAGTGTTCTAGATGGGAGTAGTGATGTAATGCACCTTGACTTCACTGTGTACAGTCAGCGAGGAATCATGATTTGATGAAAGTAATGCTGTAAAGAGATCACTCACATGCATTTCAACAGTTATCAAGAGCTCTCGCAACACTTTCGAGATACCGAGAGAGTGGTCATCACATGCTCCTAAAGCAGAAGCTGGCGAATGATGTTCTAACATTTTTTAACCCTTTAAGAGCCGCCCCATACTTGAATGCGTCGTTCAAATGCAAAACTTCAAAAGATCGTAACTCAGTCCAATCTCGCTCAAATCCAGTGATCGAAATATCCAGGGCGAAGAGAAAACTCTCACCTGTCGGAAGCAACAATCCGCGAAGCGCTGCGAGCAACGGTTCCTGAGATAAATCACTCGTAAGTTGAGCCGCGATCGCGGCAATTTCAAAAGCGCGCAGTGCGACTTTAGTATTGAGAATTTTGAGACTTTTCGTCACGCTGGTTTATTCGAATTTGCATGGATTTCACTGTTGATATTGTCAAGAGTACACAGCAAAAAAATAGGAACTCCACGATCGAGTAAAGTGTAATATCTGGAGCGGGACGCAATTGGACGCATTTGGGGCATTTTTCGTACTGTCGCTGCGATCTAGCGCTGGATAGACGGTGTGCTGGCTATCATGATCGACCTCATTCTCTTCCTCTCGCGGAGACCTTTCCAGGAAGCCCTAGATTATGAGGATTGAGTGAGTAGAACTGGAGCTATGATCCAAGGAACACGAAAAAATGCAGAATTTTGAAATTTTCCTGTGGCTCTTAAAGGGTTAAACAACTCCCACCAAACACCTTGTAATAATTATGATGAAGAGAGGAATGTCATGGTGGTGGAGCTGAGCTGTCCTAGGAGGCTAGGACATCATGCTTTGCATATGGTAGTCCCAATGAAAGGAAATCACAGTGAACAGATGCTATTACACAGCTACCTGTAACACACATACGAGAGCGACTCGCACATACACACATACATACACTTATACATACACTTACATACATACGCTTGCTATAACTCACCTGACTGGGCTTACTAACGCACGTAGCTCCTCGTCGAGATGCCGTCTGATCATGACCTTGGCCGGCAGGATGCCGAGAGCGGTTGCCATGGCTTCGGGTCCAAACGATGACTCCAGTACGACAATACCACCATGTACACCACTGTCACGCAGGTTCTCAGAGTATTCCTGCATGCACGGTGCAGCCGCAGGGTGTGACGGGATAAGCAGAATACAGGATACCAGATCAGGGCATAATACATAGCACTAGTAGTGGTGATGGTCTGGGGAGGGGGGGGGGGGGGCACTGCCTACTCCGAAGAAGTAGCTGTATTTTATTAGCTGGATCCCTTGATCCTTGGGGGTGGTGGTCGAGGGGGGGGGGGGGGGGGTGTCCCAAATTGGACATTGCAGTTGAAAATTCACCGAAACCCTGACTGCCTACTCCAAAGAAGAAGCTGTACTGTCCTAGGTTTGTGAGTCCCTGTGCAAAAAAGAGATTTCCAGTGCAGCGTTGTCCACACTTGATAGCGTCCATCTTTACAGGTATGACAGGTAAGTCATGATCACAATGGAAACTGGATAGAGATGTGTGATTCGGATGCAAAGAACACGCTTCAAATATTTTCAAATAGCATTCCACTTGCCTCGAAGACGAAACACATGCACAAAATACACTGCCAAATATCCACCAACATAGTGCGACACACAGCTACAGACACAGCTACAGACACAGCAGGTACTGATGTCAACAGAAGAGGAGCATGCTTACCGCCAAGTCAATAGTCTGAACCCATTTCATGAACCTTGCGTTGGTCCATACCAGCGGATCAGTGTCAGCATCTTCACACATTGCCCTGCGCTGACGAAGGATCTGCCGGTCAAAGTCACACTTCCGCAGTACTTCAATGCCATACATAAGGCTTGCCTGGACAACACAGGTCAGAAACAAAACCATACGTTTTCCTACAAGTACGATGTATGCAAGTAAATGGTCAGTTGATTTCCGCAAAGTGCATGCAGTACTGCACGCAACATGTCTGCTGCTTACAAACTACTTCAAACACTGGGACAATGAAGACTGTGTATTGATCAGTGTCGGCTGAAACCTACTGTGTTCTGTCTGAATTGCCAATTTGTTTTAAACAATGTTATCGGCAAGCGTGCATCCCGACTCGAGACGGCATACTAGTACATGTATACTAGTAAGTCAATGAATAGCAGCCAGACATTGTCTGGTATGAGGAAGAGGAGAACGATTTTGCACATGACGGTATGGCCGTCTTCATTGCCTGCTAGTATGAACTAAGTCAGGAGGATGTGGGTCAGGGACCAGAGAATGTGCATGCAAGTGGGCATAACTCGGGTGAACATGCTATGAAAGTCAAAAGAAACCTCGGGACAAAGTATTATTCTCTTCCGAAGGCATACTTCAGTTGTACGTGTCCCATGTACCATATTTTACCAGTTATAAGTCGACCTTTTAACGGCCTAAAAATTGACCTAAAAAGGGGTGGTCGACTTACAATTGGGGTATAACTGCCCCTAGACCGGTAAATCGATGCCCCAAGTTTGGAGGTCGACTTGTAACCGGGGTCGACTTACAACCGGTAAAATACGGAACATAAGATGAACACAAACATGGCCATGATCGTATCGTACACAATACCACAACGTACCTGGTGGAATTTGCGGGTTATGCCAAGATGTCTTTCCATATCACGGCGTGTGAGAGAGTTCAGCACGGCTCCATCAACCAGGTTGTTCAATAAGCTGTCACTGTGCTGAGAAAGACCAAGTTGCTGTAGCCATACTGTTGCCACCCATATATGGTCCATTTCTCCACTCTTGGGATACTTGCTGCACAGTCACACAAGCAATCCAAATACGATCCTAATATGCTCTCTTGGTATGGACCCGGCTAATTGAACTAGACTAGTGCAGTGCTGCCAAAATTTTAATAATTTTCACCCAAAATCGGACACCCTTCACCGTCAAGGCTGGCCATATGGTGCGAATTTTCTCCTCGGCAATATTTTTAGAGAGAATTCAAAATATCGCCTAAAACACCATGAAAATTCGCTTCGTTGCCATGGTAACCCCGGAGTTGTCATGAATTTTGTAATGATGAGTGTGGTCGCACACTGACTCTGTACAGACTGTCAGTGTACATGCCATCCAGCCTGATCCAGGCATGTTACTTTGGACTTCCACAGCCAAGCGCTAGCCTTTTTAGAAGCAAATGTACAGTGATTTGTGCCTTCAGTTGCGCTGAAAAGTGAAAGTACAGGCCTTCTGCATATGAAAGTAATGATCACCGACATTTTGGCTGTTTTTCGGACGTTTCCCTTGTCGGACCGGTTTTCGGAAGAGCCTTCGAAAATCGGACAGTGTCCGAAAAATCGGACGGTTTGGCAGCACTGCTAGTGGGAATGTGTTTGCATATGTATAAGAGTCAGAGACAAAGAATCTAACATGTCTGCATATCCATAATTTAAGTCAGTGTCAGAAGGAGAGTGATTGAGGTCCTTACTACAAATAGTGCCCTGTAACTTCCTAGCTCGGGCACAGTGTACAGCACAAAGGTAAAGCAGCAGAGACCCAGACAGTTTCTTCCGTTACTCCAAGCTCTGTATTTTGATACATCAAGCAAGAGTTAGACAAATATGACTCAGTGCTAAATATACCCCCCCCCCCCCCCCGTCCCTCCCTCTGTCCTTTACTGGTATGCAGCGCGTCATAGACTGGAACACCAGAAAGAAGAATACAACATATTCTCCCGAGCGTTATTGCTATTGCAGCTTACACATTCTCCGGGCTCTTCTGTAGTTCAAGAGCTAGTCGAAGCTTGCGGCGGTGTAGGACGTTGGACATTTTCAATGCCGACTCGATTTCTCCATCCGTCATGCCCAATAGAACCCGGCCACTTTTGATATTTTCCTGCCATAAGTCAAATCAGCCAGAACACCAACAAAACACAATGAAAAAAGTCTGATTTTGAGCCGATAACCAAAGGTAAAAAGGAAAGAGACGCATCGATTCGAGATATGAGGTACTGTCCACCACTGTAACTGGACAATATACCGTCAGAAAGTACGGCTCAATGGATCTGCACAATGAATTTATGCTCTGAGCGGTGAGTTACCTTTGTGGGTAGGGGGGGGGGGGGACATTCATGTCCTGCATTGCTGCTGGTACACCAACTTCAGTCTTCTGCATGCCTCTCCTCCCCCTCCCCCCCCCCTCCCCCCGTAGTGTTTAACTTGTTGTGGCTTGGCTTCAAAACCACACTTTGCAGGGCGTTGGAACCGGTGCGGCAGGTGCGGCCAAAGCCGTACCAATAATTTCATCTTGTGATTTTTGAAGCAAAACATAACCGGGGCTATTTGGGCCCAATTTTTGGGACAAAATTTCCAAAAGGGGATGGCCCTGGACCCCCAACTCTTCATGGCCACGCTAATGCCCAATACCTTCCGACGCCCCTGCTTTGACTAGAGACATTCTTCTTATCCCCATATGCACACTTCTAGACCAGGGGGTATGCTGTTTCTAAATGGACAGGATAGGTGGTACAATGCACTATACTTACTGAGCAGGCTCTGGCATACTGCGGCATACAGAGAACAACCTCCAGCCATGCCACGACCACAGCAGCTCTCCATCGGTCCATGGGCTGGCCCTTGGCCTCCTCCAAGACCTGATGTCGCTCCTGCAGCTGTTCGTCTGTCAGGCCATGCGGCGAGGGCATGGGAATGTCCGCTGAAACCCGATCTGCTGAAGAATGGCTGAGATCTGTAGCAAATATCACAACATACACACAGATCACATGATATACATGGGTCACATGACATGCATAGGTCACATGATCTTCATAGGTCACATGAAACTCAAGGGACACGTGATAAACTTTGAGGTGTATGGATGGGGGGGGGGGGAGGGTACGGGGAAGGTTGACATACCGTACTGGCAATATATATGGTCGCAGTGAGGCCATGAAGCGTTACATTGGCACATGTTTACCGCACGCAGGGCGTTACATGCAAAGTCGCACAGGAGCCGTTACACAGGTTTCTATATTGCCGCAGTCCTTTTTTTGCTATTGCAGGACTTCCTGCTGCGTCCAGTTTTGAACTTTTCACCACGCGGTACACGTGCTTTCACAGTTTTCAGCCTTTTTTGCAATGAAAAGATCGCCGCACCCCGCCGGACGCGCGTTACGAACGCAACGAAAATTTGTCGCACTAACCTGGTCGCGCGTTACGCCGCACCCCCCTGCGTTACGCGTTACGCGGCAACATATATTGCCAGTACGGTACATTCCAGATCGAGTTCTATGTTGGAACATACCGTACACAGAGGAAATGACATATTTGTGAATATCTCAGAAGGAGACCGCAAAGTTCAGTATTGAGAGCCACATGATGACGTTGATGTGTCTGCGTGTTACTACCACAGATCTAGTTGACCCATATGAATAATATATGAGGTGTATTACCACTGTACCGTCCTAATCAATGTTCATCTAGGGATGGTGGTTTGGCCTAATTGGACCGTTCGTAAACTTGTGGTGCCAGGTCACCTATATCTAATTATTGTCTTCGTGCTGTCACAGAACAGGACACTTACACACACACTCCCTAATGCACTATGCTTGGTAATGAGCAGGTGACAAGGGATTATGAAAACAATGTGTTACAGGCTGTGGGCCATTATAGCATTGACCTAAGGGACACACCCAGGTGAGACCACAGTGATACCACATGAGACCACAGTGACATCCAATCAACACCACCATGTTGCTACATGGTATCAGCACTACACACAGCCTGCTGCAGACTATAATTATAGTGGTGGGTACTGAGTATGGTGAGGTGTCAGTAATATACTATACACAATCCACCATGATACTGATTGGTGGGTACGAGTATGGTGAGGTGTCAGTAATATAGTATACACAATCCACCATGATACTGATTGATCCACGATACCAGTGTGTACTGTACCCACATCCTGGGGCAAAATGCCATGGGACCACTCTTTCACACAAAGCTATAGTCAGAACGGGTTCCAGACGGGGCCAGCACACCGGCTACCCATACAGGGCACTATACTGGACAGCACCCAGGCCAGTACACAAAGAACTGAACCAGGAACATACTCTACTAATAGTGTACATGCTGGATTACATGTGCTGCATGTTGAACACACACGCGCGCGCACACACACGCGCGCGCACACACACACGCACATGCGTGCGCGCACACACGCACATGCGTGCGCGCACACACGCACATGCGTGCGAGCACACACGCACACACGCACACACACACACACACACACACACACACACACACACACACACACACACACACACACTGAACAGATTTAACACAGCCTTGTACATGTACTAACACTACTAGTATACCGAAAAGGTCACAACAATACCTAGAGACCACCAACTGTGCAGACAGCCTTGTTCCACAGTCTACTTCTCACTGCATCATGTACATACATATGTACATACATATGTACATACACTGACAACAAGCAGATGTACATCATCACAATCAAGGATAACTTAGTTAGTCCAGCCAGGAGTGTATTTTCCTAATGTCTACTTCACAACAATAATCACGAGGCCAAACCCAATGGCACGTTCCTAATTACATCCACATTACCCTCTTCACATGTGTCACTACAAACCAATAACAACAAATGAAATTAATAGAGAAGACATCTTTCCAATTGGTCCTACTGGGAAAGAGAGGAGAAGAAAGGGATGCAGCAGGTTGTCAGTTTGGAATCATAGTGAGGCATGTGAATGCTGACAAATAGCATAATGTCAGTCCCCTGTGCATGTGAAGTCTTGTTAGAACACGGGTGTATTGGACACTTGGAAAGATAATGCCCTGAAGGCAGAATTACTGCCACACGTGTGCTAAAAACTTAAAAAATCCACCACAACTATCAACTGCATGGAGTGAGAGTGGAAATCTCCATCCAGTCAGGTCACACGATCCACCAATGGTAGCTTAAAACTGACTGGGTAGCCATGGAAACTACTGTACTGAAGACAGTCACAGACAAAGTCATGATTCGTACCAGAGGCAGGGAGGTACACAATACAATACATGTATTTTAAGATTCATTACTTGAGGGTATTGAAAAGGGAAACAAATCTGAAGAAAGATTAACTGTCACCACCAGGACTCAAACCAGGGACCCTCACTTCTGGCCAGCAACGCTCTAAACACTGTGCGATTATGTAGCTGGTCATGCTCCTACTTAGGTATTAGATTTCCCTCCCCTCGGGACATGATGGTGACGCTATTGGGATATTGCGCACTGAAATTCAGTGTCCCTTATCAGGTTTCACTCTTCTAAACTCAGTAGAGCTGTGTGAGTGTGACTAACCCTGGACCTAGGAAACTGTCAAATGACTTGTGCTGGCTGAAAAGGGGGGAGGGGGGGGGGGCACTGGATCAGATTACGGCTGCCTTCATACTCTGCCCTGTCACTATACGGAGGCCAGGAACTGGAGTGGTTGTGTCAAACGAGTGCACTGAATATTTGCATCAAAAGAAGTGAATGCAATGCTCACTCTAGACGATCTACAACACCCAAAGATGGCATAGCGATTACAAAATCGCATTGTACAGCGCAAAGATAACATCAAAAACTGACACTTGATAGATATGCCGACAGCACTCACACACAGTGAACGTGGCTAAACGCATTCTACACGTCACAAGATATCATCACCATTCATACAATGGTTTACCAACACACCAAGCGGAGCTGCAAAGCAAACAATGGCGGCCGTTCATGCCTCCCGGTCACATGATCATTAACAATTGCCAATCTCACATGCACTGATGAAGACAGGCCCAGTGGCTGCCCACACGGGAATGCACCACTTGGTTTTGTTTTCCCTGAAGGCATACTGCGCTATTCACATCGTGTTAAAATGGGACAGTAACGAAGCCAGAAAGGTGATACCGACAAGAAACCTTGGCATACCACTTTCACAAGCGTTCACACTCAATTGAAAACTCTCTTCGCCATTACTCGGATCACACCTATTTACTCAATTAGCAAAACACTTTTGCCTGGGGGGTAGAATAGGCTCTATTTACAACATTCTTCTTCACACTGACCCTGCTTCTCATCCCTGGTATTTGAGAACATGATCTAAATGTTCACACTAGGAAAATGATACTTCCCGTTGTGGACAAGCTCCCACTTCATCCTCTAACCCCACACTCCTCTGGCACTGGCATAACTGTGCAATGGCAGGGTACATAACTATGCAACAGCTTTGCACCGGCTGTGGTGGATATCCATATTAGGTAGCAGACAGACCATTCATGGAGGAAAAAAGGGAGAATGGAATACAAGCCGCAGAGTTAGTGAGACACTGGCATTACTGGTGCATTCCTGTGATGCGTCTTTCATCCACATTCCTGTCTCGACCATTTCCATTGCATATACTTCAAAGTATCCTAATACTGCAGACCTGGACATTAACTACAGCTGATGCTGGTCGTAAGAATTCACCCAGGACCAATCCAGGCTCACACCTTACAGGTTGATGTAATCATGGCCAGCCACACCACACATGCAAATCACATCACAGCAGGTGCGGGCCTGTGGACATCTGTCCACTGCTCAAAATATCTTCATTAGCATACAAAGAGAAGCACAAGTGACGCTCACTTAGACTAAGTTCAGTCATAGGGCACACGTATTGTTAGAAGGGGATGGTAATACAGGATCCAGAGCAAGCAGTGGAGCTAAACCTGACAATTCGGAATATCCCAACCATGACCTTGCTGCCACAAATATACTAGAAGTTCTAAAATCAGCCTTTTGGCGGCGGTAATAGCTCACCAGTAGATACTTGTATGCTGCTGTCCCCCCCCCCTCCCCCCCCCCCTCCCACCCCTCCACCCAGAATATTGGGTTCAAGAAAGCTGGACTGGTGTATGTGGTCTGTAGCCAGGAATCCATCGCATTCTGCCCAGTCCTAGATCAATATCCTGTGAAGTAGTCTATGGGCAGTGCAGCCTGAACAGCATGACCACCACTCTCAGCTTAGAATACCACTGCCTCATCACCGGACTCCAACACTTGTATGATGACTGCGACTGTAACCAAGGCTCTGCCCAGTGCACACCTGCAAGAGCTCTCACTCCCGTAATGACATTAGAGATACACCACACTCTCTCTGCCTACAATGACTATGATTGTAGTACACACATTACAACATGTACCAGTACTGCTGCACAAGGCCAACATGCAAGACCCTTCAGAATGACCACAACATCAAAACCAAACCCTACCTTCTAGCAGTAATGTGTTGACCATCACACCACCACAAAACACCTAATTCTGGAATGTAGTACATTCGTGTGTGATGCCAACACCATTACGCTGGTGGACTAATTTCGTTTGATACAAATTCATACACTTAGACGTGACAACACTAGAAACTGCACCCCCATCATTCATCAGCTATACCCAGCTACTGCTAACAGTATGAGATGAGTTTGCCCACACAGGACAGGTCTGTGTCTGCTGGCTGCATCATTGAATCCAATGATAGTCACCCATGTAGACAGATCTTCCCAGGGTCAGTCAAGTGCATGCACAGCTTCAACAGCTCTAGTACTCTAGGCTGGACTGAGCAGATTGTGTTGGCTGACATAATGGACAAAGATCACGTGACTGCTCCCAAGAATCATAACATAAGAGGACTTGATAATTAGCGTAAGAATCTCTTCACTCCTTCCCTATGCCAGCCGGGCATGGTCTGCACTCATCCGAGTAGCTGTAGACAGAGAGGTGAAATCCCTTGCACATTATCTCTTACTGCTACTGGTACTGTCTGACTGCAGTGACCTGTTACTTGGATGCTTCCATTGCCAGTCACAACAACGGGTCAGTCATAAACACAGTGAGATACTACTACTACTACTACTACTACATTGTATTGCTACTAGCATTCACAGTGACTGAGTCACAACACTGATCTTCACCAGTACAGTGAGCACACTGACAGTGCCGACGTTGCCTGTACCTTTACTTCAAACAGCCAATCCCTGGGACTTTGGGGACTGTCTGAGTGGGAGTTCTACAGGTCCTCATGCCATCATGGAGTCAGTGCACATCATCAGCAAGGACACATTCATGCCATCACGCCTCATGTCATGGAGTCAGTGCGCATTCATTCAGCAAGGACCGTGCATTCATGCCACACCGACACACTGGGAAGCTAGAAAAATCCACAGCAATCTGCTATGCTACTGAATGTCAGCGGCATGAACAAAACAGCTGACAGTTATCAGTAGCAGACCACCCCAGCCACACACACACATACATCTATGACTAGTATGAGCCTTACTCCCCTTCATTACAATGGTGTCAACTCAAGAAGAACTCCTCTTATCTCTATTATTAGTCCAGATCACTTGCAGAGGTCAGTGATCTATCAAAGGCACAGCTATCTGAATGAGGTATCCATGACATTCAGATCAAACTGTCCACTATACACAGACACGAACCGCACACAAGATCCATTAGCAAGAAGATCCGTCCATCTACTAGGAGTTTCATGCTCAGTCTCGCAATAACCAGGAGACTAAACTGCAGACACTGACTATACGGATGAGTTCCCGCTCTGACAGACATCCGCTTTAGACTGCAGTGAGCATACTGAGTTATAGTTGCTCAGATGTGTTTCTCGGCAAAACTCACAAACACACTCTCCCCGGGCTACAAAGCACTGCAGGTACAACTTCCTGCGCGGGCCTGTAGACAGGTCAGCGGATGTTCAACCAATGACCCCAGCTCACGCATTACACAATTGCCTGTGTTATCATGTCAACGGATGTACACTGAACTGACACCGATCCTAACATGGAAATGCCAATCGTGTTAAGAGAACGCATTCTATACGAAAACCTAGGCTTAGCAGCCCGCTGTCACCTCGCCTAAACTAGGTATTAGTAACAGAGAGAATACGCATGGACATGGCATGACCCCCACAATACCCTGTACCAGACTACCCCATGCAGATCTCCTCACAGCAGTTCATCACAAGTAGAACTACTGAAGTATGAACTGGTATGAAGCAGGGGACACACTGTTTCACCAGCGGAGAATCACAGCAGACATGAAATACACGACTACGCACACACACACACACACACACACACACACACACACACACACACACACACACACACACACACACACACACACACACACATGTGGCAGACATGTTCTGTACGGTCAATACATGAACTCAACCCATGCAGGAACTTCTACTGAGTAAGACTAGAGCAGACCTGTTGATCAGCACACTGTCTAGCCAGTGTTGTGTGTATTTCCCACCACATACCGTATTTCCCCGATTATAATTCGCACCCCCATTTCCGGGTTTGAGCAATATTGATTCGATATATTGACGTCAGTAGTAATTCACGCTCGATTGTAAGTCGCACCCCCTTTTTGTTTAACCCTTTTTACCCTTAACTCTTTTTTTACCCTTTTTTACCCTTGAATTTTAGTGCAAAAGGGGCGACTTATATTCGGGGAAATACGGTACATATGCCAGCACACAGAACTATACTGTTACACGCTAGCAGTGAACCTTCACAACACAATGTAATTTCGATATCACTCGTCAACAGGAGGGTATATAAGACAACAGGAACACAAACTTCAGGCATCATTTTGACTGAGATGTGTCGCGTTCTGACCCGTAAAACCGACACACAGATGTCCGTGGGGTGAAAACGAACTATTTTGTGACAAAAAACGCAAAAGCTCCCGTTTGGTCTTTATCGCGTTTTGAATTGGAGCCCTTCATATGCACATGGCACACCAAAAAAGAGAGACAAAGTGCAAAGGACGGTATTACCTTTGAAGAAACATGTCACAGGTGCTACAGTGGGTACACGTACCTTACAACATTCATTACGACCTCCACACTAAGAAAGAGTTCATTTCCCGCCATGACACCATCTTAGTAACACGATTCACCCAACTGATACACAGTACAAGATATCACATTACATGTGTTGATACATGCTGTGACCGTGATCATTGGTCAACACCATACTATACAGAGATCAATGGGAAGCACCATACGATACAATCTGCCACGCATATGTGTACACATTGTATCGTATACAATATGCCGCATTGAGTGATACAATCTGTCGCACACGTGTGTACACACTGCATCGTATACGCTATCCAGTTACTGATATCGAAATTGATCCCCATACAATGGAACATGATGCACACATATATATATAATTATATTATGCAGAGCTCACTGACTTGTCAGTTTGAGCACTCTGGCAAGGTACGTTCGGGCCTGATTGGAAATTTTTATTTCCATTGCTATCAGGTTCGGCCTCATTTTCTCTGTGCTGCGCTGATGAGTTCAAAAAGAACGAAACAGCATGCTGTCCGCAGATTGAGTATATAATTATATATATAGGTGGCTGTAACTACACATGTCACGGTTCTGTGATTCACCAAGACAGTTAGTGTTACCGTATCCACCATACATGCACAGGAATACAGGGATTTCCTGATGTTACCATTAATCACAGCACCTATATTGTACACTGATTCTACTGAAGCGTATGCATTGTATTGTATTGTATTGTATTCTATTGTATTTGTGCCTGTACATTGCAGTTGACTTTGCTACAGTGGTGAGACCTCACGAGGTCGAAACAGCTCGTTTTCCTCCGTATCCCCAAACCCAGTGACCACACATTTGTACACACTGTACGAGTTAGCAGACTCTCCGGCACCAGCAGTACTCCCACCACACTGCCCTGGCGTCACACTAAAACGTTCCTGTGACATTCTTCCAAATGAAATTTCTGGAGACACTTGGAAAGTTGATCTGTTCACACCTCCCTGCGCTAAGTTGACATTAATTGAATAACGAGAGCGAAAGTCACGCAACAGACACACACAACGACTAGCAAACACTTCTCGTCCTCCCAGCTCAGACACAAAACCAGGAATTACTTTGACAGCCACCAGGAGTCTCCCAATGTTACTTCGTCTCAATAGAACCTACAAGTCGCTGATGCAGCTGAAACTGTGCATGAAAAATCCTGAAAGCCCAGAGTGAACTCTGACATGTGCTGGCTTATGCCTTGCATGGACATTGTCTTTTCTTGGAGAGAAATGTAAACAGAAACTTGGAGAACATTGGAAACTGAGTATACAAGGACACAGTCAACTGCACAGGCGCGTGCTCGGCGATGGGCACGGGGGGGGGGGGGGGGGGGGGGGCACGTGCACCCCCCAACAATTTTCAATCTGGGTAATTGCAATTGTAATGTATGCAAAAATGCTCTAAAATTCAAGAAAGGTTGCAAACAAATTGCAGAAATTGCCGGGGGGGGGGGGGCTCCCCTCGGCTCCCGTGCACCCCCCTAGTTGGGGGGCCCGAGCACGCCCCTGCTACATCTGTGTCCCATGCGGCATACTCACTTGACAATATCTGTGTCCCATGTGGCATACTCACTTGACAATACAAGGCACTGCTCATTCTCAACGCCACCGTCTCAATCAGCACAGCGAATAAAACACCGTTGTGCATCGGTATCAACGGCAAAGGAAAGTAGTGCCCTACACCACGTTGTCTTCTTGATATTCATTTCGTACCATGCCTACAGCTTTGCCGGCATAGGTACTGCCGTGAACTGGACTAAGCAGATAGTATGTCTCTCGTGCTCTCTTACTGAGGGCTATCATTTTTCAGGCCATGCTCTTGGCCAAAGAGCCCAAATCAAATCGCCACTTCACAATACACCACCAGTACAGGACCACCATACACTGAGGCTGTAGACTGTACTGCACACATACAACAATGCACACGTTACAGCACTGCGCTGGACAACATTGCGCTCAACAGACAACACTGAACTCAGCACAATATACGATTACTGGCATTAAGCATTGCCATGATTACTGTCTCAGTGTCTGCACAGTGGCAACACATCCCCTTCACACTCCCCCAATCATCACATACACCTGTAGTCGTTCACGTGCAATCATGATAGCCAAGAAAAGTCCCTGGGACACTCGTTTTACCACCTCCCGTATTGCAACATTTTTATGATACTTTTGATAGAATAAAAAGTACAAATTCTGAACACAACGAAATCCCTTACCGTCCCTATCCTTCTTGCTCGGCCTCATGAAAATCTTTGACAGCGATCCAAAGCCCTTGCGTTGCTTGCTTTTCTTCTTGCCACTAGCCGCTGCTGGTCCACCCGCAACTAGCGCACTGGGGCTGAGATTATCCCTGTCCTGCGCGTGTCCGCTGCCATTGCGCTGCGGACGATGCAGGAACGACGGTTCTACGCCGCCGCCATTCTGTGCTATGTGCGCGCTAGTACGGCGATATCCAGCGCCGCCACCATCAGAACTGGATCCAGTCCACGCGGAGGGTGAATACGGCGGAACTGTATCCTCGTCAGCACGTAGTATTCCCCCTGTCGTTGATGATGACACCATGGAACTACCCATGCTACTAATTCCACCAATGCTCGACGACACTATACTGCCATTGGCCGCTAGCTGGCGTTTGACCCGCACCAGTTCAGCCTCCATGGTAGCAAGTGCTCTGTCCTTCATTTCAAGCTGGTTCTGGTCTTCGCGGCTTGTTTGTGACGACCATGACGAATCTGCCAGTCTCGCTTCGCAGACGTCAGTCAATGCCTTTACTTCGGCTTCTTTCTCCTCGAGGGTAGAATACAACTCCTTCATTTGAACGAGTAGATCTGCCTTCTCAGCTTTCAGACGCTTCTTGTCCTGCTTCAGCGCCACGCACAAATCTCGCATCTTCACCAATTCCATCGCTAGATCCGCCGCTTCCCGCTTCAGTTCGCTATCGGGTTTTCCTTCCAAACTCTGCCATACTCGCACTTGGTCCAGCTCCAGCTGCAGCCGTTCACGCTCCCTTTCGGAGCGCTCCAGCTGCTCCTGTAAGCTGTTCATGACGCTCTCAACTCTGAAATTCTCTTCGCCATCCGTGCCAAGAAGGACTAACTGCTGACGGAGCGCCGCTGTTTGTTCCCGAAGGAAATTTCTCTCATCGGTGACAGCAGCTAGATCAGAGGCGAAGGCGGTGATGCTTCCTTCGCTTGCAGCCGCAAGCTGCTGTCCTGACGAGACATAGCTGCGAAGAGCTGTCAAATCGTCCAGCAAGCTATCGCGCAGCCCTGCCGGGTTGTCCACTTGGCTGCTGATTTCATGAAGCTGTTCGACTAGCGAAAGGGCTCGCGTAAAATCGTCTTCTTCAGGCACCAGATTCGTATCTTGCTCATGAACCGCCGACATTTTCGCTCCGCTGCTTTCCTTGGTCCCAAAATTGTGACTGAGATCCAAGCTTAGAAACTCGGTGACCTACGGTTTGTTTTCGCCAAGTGCGCTAGTGCCCGAACAAATCCTGACGATGTTACATGTAGCGCACTCTACTGTCGTGCTGACTAGCTGTTCTGTACCCGTCCGCTCTAAGCCTAAGGAGCTTTGGCCCGGTGGGATGTCCTCTCTCTGCTCGCAGGGCAAACCGTTCCGCCACCTCTGGCTCAGGGCCGTACTGCTTTGTGAATGGACGAAAGACGTGAAGCTCGAAGGTAATGGATGGTGGTCGCTCCGCTATCGCGCAGTGCAGGGTGCACCACAGAAATCTTGCGCGCAGTCCGCGGCCCATCGATCGAGCAAATAAAAATCCACCGCAGTGTGACTATGCCAGTGCAGTGAATGATTTGCTCCATCTTTCGCAGGACACCCTGTACAAACAAACGGCTGTCTGTACTGTCTGTAGATCCACCTAGGCTGTAGCCTGCCTAGTGTAGGCTGTCCTGACTGTAGCGTAAAGGCGGCCGTGTGGGGATAGCATACATACACAGACAGTCAGTGTTGTATGCACCCGTCCGTGTTTATGTACATGTATATGTACGTGTGTATGCCTAAAATGGGCTGAATGTTTGCTTTCTAGACGAATCAGTCGACTTGCGCAGGCGTCAAGCGTGCGCGAGGATGCAGCATTCAGCACCGATCGCAACCCGTACCCAATGCTTTGTTCGGATCGTTTCCAATGCAAATGCGGCAAGTGGGGGCGCCGGCTGAGCATGAGACGCAGCACGAGCTGATGAACAGACAGTCAGTGGAACGAAGAACCAGTCTTGCACTTGCAGTACTACTACAAGTACTACTACTACTACAGTACTAGTAGTAGTAGATTGAAGCACTCTACGACGACACGACCGCTTCTCGACTTCTTGAGAGGTTGCCCCAAGTGCCCTATTGAGCAAAGAAAGGAGAAGTATTCATGCACAAACGCTTCACCGTTAGGCTTTGGCCAGTTTGGGAACAGATCCTTGCAATCGTTTCATTCCTGGCCAAGAATACCCCGTCCTCCATTACACAACTACAGCCACAGTAGACCGGTCTTTTCACTCTGCAGCCGGGCCTGATTCCAGCTAGCAGGGAGTGGAGCATTCACGCTCAAGTCAAATCCCGGAACCTGATTTATGCGATACGGATGTTGTGTCAGAACTGCATCACGCTCTGCTTGCATTGCTTGGGCGGTGGTAGATACAAGGATGCAATCAGCGCAGCCATTACACATGTTTGTAATACACGGCTAGATGCAGTGTGCCTCACTGCCAAAGACACACATACCGCAATGGCCGAATCATGGTGGATGCGGGATTGCCCTACATGGTGAGTGTGTTGAAAAACCAACGATGGATACCTGGCTGGCCCCGTCGGTCCCCGGATGTCACCAAATTTGGACGAACAGTAAACGCATGGCATACCCAGACTATTATTTTTTGCAGGATTCGAACACGAGAAACGTTTGAGCAACGGCAAAGGCTGACAAGCAAGATGGAAGAGGTGAAAGACCTGCCTGGCCTGCAAACTAGATGACTGTAGTATTCGTAGTGGAGTGACAGACAGGAGATCCCCCCCCCCCCCCCCCCCCGATAGGCGTCAGCCTTTGGGTAATCCTGAAAATTAATAAAGATAATTATTAGTATTGTCTACCTTTTTCTTTCTGTTTTAAATTTTGGCCAGTCGGCTATTATCTTTAAAAAATTGTCGTCTTGGGTTAGATAAGGGGCAGTAGCCATGTAGGGGCGTGAGCCCGCCTTCCGGCACCGGGAGTTTGACTTTGTTATCAGCATCACTCGCTAATTAACGCCTGCTACATGAGCACGCCTCTAGCCTCCTCCGGGATTACGCTCCTGCTTCTCCCAACCCAAGCCTAATTGTCGCCAATCCTGAGTAGCCAATCTCCACTGCTACCCTATTGCACCCTTCATTTGACACTCTCCTTTCACTCCTATTATCTGTTTGATTATTTGCTATTTTCTGCTATGTTCCAAAATTAGATCCTCTCCTTCGTTCTAAATCTTCCATTTTCTCCCGTGCTTTTTTCCCCTCATGCTTATGCTTCCCTCCCGAATTTGGTACGCCTGCCATGTGAAGATGCCGAGACCTCTGGTCGGTTGAGCATGGCAAGCCCCACCAGCACCATCTCACCCCATGCTAGCCCCATGTGCCTGCCGGTGAGTTGTGTATTTTGTAAAAAAAAAAAAAAAAAAAAAAAAAAAAAAAAAGGACAGTCATGTAGCACATTGACTGTACAAGAAAGAAGAGAGAGGGAGATCCCTAGTAGACTGTCATTACTGAAGTCCAACCAAGGGACCAGGGCCGGGGTAAAACAAAAAGAGGTGAAGGCACTGTAATGCTTTCGAACTCCTTCAAGCGAGTCCTTGGACACGATGATACAATCATGACTGCAAGCCTTAGGCCTTGACGGATTATGCTAATATTTTCGTGAAATTATGCTTTTCGCATTGCTGAAAAAAATGCAGAATTATGCTATTTTTATGCTAAAAGTTATCATATTATGCCGCATTATGCTCACATATGCTGCTAATGCATAATGGTTCTGTGCAAAGTAACAGGGGAATTTTTTTGTAGAGGGCGTTGTACTGTAGTAGCAAAAGTTCAACGGGATCAACGCACCGTCCGACCTAGCTACGACCATCACTGATTGTAGTGGGCTGGACATGTTATCAAGGGAGTCGTAAACCTACAAATTCCTAGTGCATCTACTTGTACTTGTACTTGTAGAACATGTACGATGTATGGAATTTGATGCGAACAGGCGGATTATTACAATTTTATGCGATTCGTATGCAATTTGCCTCGAATTATGCGATTATTCGATTTTGGTAGGAATTATGCGAAAAATTATGCTGGCATAATCCGTCAAGGCCTAGCAAGCCTGGTGGCCTGGTGTGGCCTAGCTAAGGTCTTATCCGATTCCATTGAAGTTCATCATAAGAAAGTTCTAAAAAGTTTGTTCTCGAAGAAACCTTCCTTTCCCTCCAATGAGTTGTACTTATTAGCTCAGACTACTCCGTTAGAGCAACGTCGACTAACTTGCCTCTGTATATTGGTTCATCGAATGCTCTTGGGTTGTGTTCCTGAACATATAAAGCCTTATAACTGGTTTGTTTCGGGCCGCTCAACCAGAAACAAAGTGTCTCTTCCCAAGGCCAAGTCAACGCAATTCACAAGATCGCCATTCTTCCAGGGCTACTGTGCATGGCTACAACTTCCCGACTCAGTGAAGACTTCTGCATCATTGAAAGAATTTAAAGTGAATCTGAGGGCCTGCTGATGACTGAGTGCACCATAATAATAATACTTGCAAGTAAAAACTAATCTGTGAAAAGAATTCGGGTGGACACACCCATTCCCATAGCGCTGCACATCACATCCGAACCAATTCCGTTATTTTTACAACGTTTCGGCACTTGGCCATCGTCAGGTAATAACAATGAATACCGTGGAAGCCACACAAGAGCAGTATATACGCAGAGTGTAGCGCCAAAAAAGATGCGAATTATGTCACCTTCTTCTGCGTGATGTGCACAGTTGCACCTTCTCTCCCCCCCCCCCCCCCCTCTGTATAGAGGTGACATAACTCGCATCATTTTATTTTTTGGCGCTACACTCTGCGTAACGCCATTCACAGAGCACAATCCGCGCTACCTTCTGCTGCTTCTCCTCCGTGATGTGATAGTTGCGCCTTTTCTCTCTCTCTGTCCCCCCCCCCCCCTTCTGCATACTAGGTGACATAATTCGCATCTTTTTTGGCGCTACACTCTGCGTATACTGTATACTGCTCTTGTGTGGCTTCCACGGTATTCATCGTTATTACCTGACGATGGCCAAGTGCCGAAACGTTGTAAAAAATTAATAACGGAATTGGTTCGGATGTGATGTGCAGCGCTATGGGAATGGGTGTGTCCACCCGAATTCTTTTCACAGATGAAGCTGCAGGAAGCCTCAGCCCTTCTTTAAAAACTAATCATTATATAGCTTTTCGGCTGTTTCCTTTTCATGTATATAATCTTCTCCTTCTTTTACCATGATTGGCTATCACCCAGAGTAATGCGTATGTGCACTGTTTGAAAACTTCCCAATATAACAGGCTTGTAACGGTCAGCCATATTGCGATGAAGAAGGCATTTGGTTTAGATAGAATGACCCCAACTGCATTAGTTTTACAACGGTGTCATCTGTATTCGTTTGAGCAACGAGTTAATTTGAAACTATACGTTTTGGTCTATCGCTGCTTGTCATCAATTACTAGCCTCCTCCTTCAGTCACTGTTTCTCCTGCGTTCAGTTGGCCCGCACACAAATGCTCGTACTCGTGGCCAGGATACAGCTGCCTTAGTATTACCTACTGTACATATTGGGTATGGACTGCGCTCAGTTTCTTTTCTGGCGGCAGGTCGGTGGAACACTCTTCCTCCAAACTGTCGTCAGGCACAATCTGCTGGTACTTTTGCTCACCTCACAAAGATTCACCTAGGGTTCCCTGTAACAAGGCCATGCCTGTTGGGACTCCCCTAGTCAAATAATAAATACTACTACTACTACTACTACCCACATCTTCCCGTTTTGGCTGCCATCGGAAGCCATAAGATGTTGAATAAATAAATAAATAAAGGTTGACGTAACGACGTTACCATGGTTACGTGCATAGTCAAGATCAACAGGGCGCCAACGTCAGGTTTTATCAATATTTTGTGTGGGCTGAGCTACACACCGCAAGCACAACCAACAAGCAACTATCTCAATCGTATGGTGTATGAGTGCAATGCCATTACAGAGCTAGAGATACTACACAATCATGTATGCAGACCTACATGTACATGTACCGGTACATGTACATGGCTGTATAAACATTGACTTGAGACAAGGCCCTTCACAATGTATACTACAACGGGTAAAACTTTGCAGTTTGAAGAAAGAAACCATTTTCTATACACGCACTGTACACTGATCATGGTTATGCAATACATGTACTGTACGTGTTATTACAATGTACTTCTAATCACTATCCTAACCCTAGGCCCTATGGGCTTTGAAGTCTCTGATTTTTTCATCAGAGTTCTCCTTTGCAATAATAATTTACACAGCACGACGTGCTCTCACCATGCTTGCGATATGGTACCCCCCCCCCCCCCCTCCACTCTTGAAGAGTATACAGATAACAGATACACGTTGCCTGATGATCGTAGAGATACGTGAAACTCGGAGTTGTGACAAAGCTTCCAAACTCTCTCTCTTGTGTAACAGATATACATGTATTATGATATTGTTTGGTACATTATGTCATTTCTCATAGCGTGTTTCCTTTCT